CATGTTTATTGAGAAAACTACTGGACAGGTAACAAATTTTTCCACTCAAAAATCAACTTCATGAGTAGAAGTAAAAATAGGTATCTTGCTGGTCTCAATTTCTCCTTTAACTGTGCAAAAGAAATATTTTATAAATGAATAATAAAACAAGCACAACTTATTTTCAAAATTGTAAATATTTACTATGATAAGTGTGAGTCAACAGAAAAGGTTAGAACTAATTAAAAGGTACGTAGCCATGTCCCCTTAAGAAAAGTTATCTGTCATCTAACCCCATATGTCTCCAAGATAAGGCAGAAACAGCAAGACTGCTAAAGTGAAATCAGCAGGCAAAAAAGAGACAACTGAGCGTAATCAGTGTAAATGGTGATAACTCAACCAATAACAGAGAAAAATAAAAGAGAAGACATAGATTTTGAAGAGCATCAGCCCTGGGGGACACCATAACACACCTGTGTTAATAACTTAGAGAAAAAATATGTACTTAAATTGACTACCATCTAACAGATAAGAAGCAAGTTAAGAATGATTAGTTTTAAGGAAGAAAAAGGACAAACCCTGCTTGAAATACACAACACTGTAGTTGGTCCTGACCCTAGTGCAACTGCACTGATGCTCTCCTGAAAGGATGTTGAACAGGGAGTCATGAAAACCACAGGAATTTTACTGATTTAGGGAAACATTTCCTCATGTAAAACATATTATCCACAGAGATGTACTTGATAGATTCAGCAAAGTCCCAGAGCCTTAGGAAAAAAATGGTTCATTCTATGGAAATTTCTACAACAATTGTCCACATAAAGGCAATCCAAAATGGACAAAAAATTATTTTCTATTGCAAACTAGTGTTGTTCAATAGAGTGGAAATATTACAAAAACAATAACAGCTTATAAATTAGCCAAAAGGTTTTTAAACATTTCAGGTTAATCAAGGAACTTGAGTAAAACCACAGAAAACATTTAAATAATGAAAGCATTGTGGAATCAAAATGACAGTCTGTGAACTGACCATTTCTGTTGAGGATTATGTAGAAATTTCCACTAAATCAGATTGGATAAAGCCACTTCCCTCAAAAAAAAAAAAAAATTAAACTTTGCACTGGTGTGAATGGCTGAGTAAGGTGTAGATCTACGTAAAATTAAACCAATAATCTTGTATTGGTTAAAAATGTACCTTTGTGGTGCCACCACCTGGAAAAATTATTTAAATGTTTTAAAGCAGCAATCTTTTCTGTTAGCGCTTTGGCCCCCCAAATAATTTTGACAGAAATGCAGTCAAGATAAATCACCTAAAGGGATGAAGTAAATTGAAGACTGTCAGGACTAAAGTACAGTCACAATCCTAAATAAAGCTACATCTGCCATCGTACATCATTTTTGCAATTAGATAGCTAATTGAACTTACTCAAGAGCCAAGTTATTGAAACTCGGAAATGTTATTCGGAAAGACAAAGTCACTGAATGAATACCGTGCCTGTACCCCTCTGGGAGAAAAGGTTTTATTTTTTAACTCTCAGTTTTATTAAACTAAATAAATTGTTTTTATTATTTACTGGCTGATTAGGAATATATTTAGCAATTGCAGGAAGATTTTTGAAGACTGATGCCCTCCAGCAAACTACTGAGTGTGCAAACCACTGACTGCAATGGTGAAATTTTTCACACGTTGCTCTGTCACATTTCTTCAAACACCAACCACAAAAAATCTCCACACAGCTTTTATTTAAAGACAAACTGTCACTGCTTTCAGCAATAGTCTTTGCTCCTGTCATTTTATACAAGTTGTCCTCCAACTATTAACTAAGAAGCTAATTTTTACTAGAAATTGACTCCCCTCACTCTGCCATTACGGTGCACACGGTTGATGCTTTGGGTAGTAAGTCCTGTCTCCTGTTACACAATCGCAGTGAAAGCTCAGTGAGCATATGCTCAGCCATGCCATTTTCTACTACATACTGAATAATGTTTTCTGGTTTTCTTTCTTAGATCAGAAATCTGAAAGGAGATGCCTCCAGAATCTGGTCTATTCTGATTATAATTTCTGATCAAAGGAATGCTGCTGGTGGGGCCAGGCAGACCAGCAACATATAAAGCCCATGCTAAAGCTGGACAGAAAGCCAAGCAGGTGAGGAGAGACTCTTCAACTCTTTCACTCTACATATAATAGCAGTAAAGCAGAAAACATGGCTCCAGGGAACATGATGTTTGAATTGCTTGAAGTCTGAGCAATCCTGGTCAGTCTAGTTCAGCTACTGAAATGAAGTTTCCTAAGCAGAATTCCTTTGTTGAAGTAGCCATCATGCTCTGTTCTGAAACACTTATCCCTCCAAATTTCATGTGTGCTTCACTAACAGAGTCAATGACTAATGACTAGAGGCAAACCTCTAGTACTGATACATACAATCATGGAATGCCTTGGGTTGGAAGGGACCTCAAGGAGCATGGAGCTCCAACCCCCCTGCCACAATTTGAATTTTCCCAGAACTCTGCTGCTCCATGTAACTGTGAACTGCTGCCAGTTAAAAAGTACCTGCTGGAAAGGTAAAAAAAAAAAAAAACCAAACAAAAAAACGTTCATTATCTACTTTTAAGTCTCTCTTTGGATCTTACCCTGATCATGGCTTCTGTTAAATATCAGAAAACACTTAGGCAGCCAATGTACTGTATCTACTGCCTCTTCTAATTCACTCTTCCTTTGTGATTCACCTTCTCCTGTTTGCTCTAGTCAATGCAGTTGCTGTAACACAAGCACCATGAGCTGAAATCACCTGCGTGCCCACATGCTGCTCAGCACAGCAGGTCCTCAGCCTCACGCTAACATGAGACGGACACAAGAAACAGCAGAAAGCAAAGTGTATGTCTTGCTGAGAGGAAGGGAAGAGGAATAGCTGTCACACTTCTGGAAGTGCCTGCTACTGTGCCAAGTGTCATCAGGGTAAGAACTTAATTAGCAGAGGGTAGATTGATCTGAGATTAACACAAATACAACAAAGACACTGGTCCACGTGTAAATAAATCCACTAAAATATAAAAATGTTATGCTGCTGAGGGAAAATACACTTCTATATACATTAGTAATTGCTCATACTTGAATTAGTTTCCATTTTAATTTGTATCTTTTCCTTGTTCATTATTTTCAAGTTATTTTCAAGCAAACTGCATGAAAACATAACATGAATATTAGAATTGCACAACTCTTGTCAGAGAAGGAAGCCATGGATAATGAAAGAGGGCAGAGAGCAGAATGCTTTCTAGGTTCTCAGCAAAAGGATGTCTCTGGTAATGCTGAGCTATTCGCCTCTGAACACCCCCAAACGTTGCAGCTGTTCACATCTAAAAGCTTACCAGAGGCTTCTGGTACCTCTGGTACCTCTGTCGTTGGTTGGGTTATTCAGGAAGAGAAGATTAACAGACACAGCTTCCCAGCATGAATGACATACATGGAAAAAATTATGCCAAGGTGAAGGATTTCTGTAAAACTCATTAAGTAAAATACGGAGTAGTTGTTGACATAATGTTCAATGACATGTGAGGTTCATAGTACACCTATTAAAATACTGTGTAACATTAGACTAATGCAAATATTCATGTGTGAGGACACCAGCTGCCACCTGTGGGTTCCATATCTTTCTTATTGCTATTCACGAGCTATAGCCTGCACATCGATCACACTTTTTCTTCACTCACTATTGGAGTAGCTGAACACAGGAGAGAACAAGATTCATCACACAGCAAACATCAAAAAGGAGCTTTTCCAGTTTTTAAAATTCTTAATGAGGAATCTGAATGAAAAAAAATGTAATTTTTCACTCACCTGTCTCTCCACTGGCCTGCAAATGCAAATGCATTCAATTATGAGAGTATTACAAGTACAAAATGTGATTGTACTTTTATTGTAATTTTTTTAAATTGAATTTCTGATTTTAACATGACTGTGATTCATCAGTACCATATGTATCTCAATTTGGAATTTTATAATAAAATCCTCTCTGTCCCTTAGTGAGATTCTGGAAATTGTCAGTGATGCTGGTGCAGTTTATTGGAGTGCTACAACTTATTCAACTTATTTGTTTTACTTTAGTGCATCAGATATTAACAGGGAAATGCAATTATATATTATTCAAATGTAATGATATTGTTTGTACAATCATACAGTAAAGCCTGTAAAAATGGCAAAGAGAGGTTTATAAGAACATGGCACACTAAAGCTGCATCAGCAACACAACTTCTTTTGTGAGAAATAAGTCTGAAATTTTTTTTTCAGTTTAGTCTTTTAAAAACCCTTCAGAAACGCCATCTGGTTATGGCCATTAACTATGGGAAGAGATTGAAAGGAGTGGCTTTACAGAAATATGACTAAGATACCATTGCACAAGACAAAAAGAACAAGAACATTCAAACCATATCTTACAGAGTAGTTTTTTTCTTAGTAAATACATATACAGGGGGAACAAGCCATAAAATGAAAAATAATACAGGGCTGGAAACCATTTTAAAATCTTATAACTCCCACAATGTTATCATTTTTTATTTTATTTTTTTATTTCTAATGTATAAGGGAAGGTGTAGTACTTCTGAAATACAGTCCAATGCTAAAGAAATTAAATGTGAATACAGTGAAAATGACGGTATTGTTTACCATGGGAATACTATTTGCAGACAACAGGAGGGAATAGCATTTCTAAAACAACGGAGAAGCAATTCTGAGGCTGCTCTGTGTTTCAAATGTTTATATCCTATGTATTTATAATAATCTTTTCTAAGGTTGGTGAGAAATAAATCTCATCTTCCTTTTTTTTTTTTTTTTTTCTTCCCCAAACTACGCATGGTATATGTGCTAACTTACTGAATTCATCCTTCATGCAATTCCAGTTTATTAAAGAGGTTAAAAATTTATAAAACTCTGATGGGATATGGTTTTAATGCTTCATCACACTACCCATCATTTGCTTTTCAATCTAGATCAGAATGATCTTTCCTACTTCCCTGCAATCACCTACCTGCACAGCTAATATTTTCTGAGCGTTCTCCTGAGAGGCCGCCTGGATCCTCGCCAGCCCAGCCTGGCCATGGAGCCCGCGCAGCCTCAGGTACGCCGCCAGCGCCCGGCGCATCCTGCTCTGCAGCACCCACAGCTGGAACCGGGCGGCGGGGGTCGAGGGGGGAGAGAGAAAAGGGAAGAAAAAAAAAAAAAGCCCAAGTCAGAGTAGGAGAGGAAATTAATGGCGGTGTTCAAGAAGAATGATGGAGGGAAATATAGAAAGCAGTCAATAGCCCATTCTGCACTGTACGGACCTGACAGGAATTTCACAGTCTCTTGACTTTTCAGCCCACTCATGTGCATTCATCAGAAACCAGTCACATCTGGCTGCCAGGATGGGGGGTTAATTTTCTCTAAATGCCTCAGCAGTTTTGTTCTAGCTGAAGCAAACTCTGTGACTGCAAAGCTGATGAGTAAAATATTTCTACTTCACCCAGTTTAACTCAAAACCGATAGCCTTGGGACATATTGAACCTTTCTTAAAAAAAAAATAATCTTTTGAAGCTTTCTGAATGGCACATCAGGTCAGCACAAAGTTTAAAATGCACGTTTAAGACTTTGATGGACACAAGGGCTTTTTTTTTTCCTTTACTGTGTAAAGCTTATCACAGCTTGGCAATGTGTGCTTTAGTGCATGACAAAACTAAAGAGAATTAACTTAGCCATCAACTACTCAGGGAGAACAATAACAGGAAAGAAATTTCCAGATAGAACTTCCTATTAATCTACCTAGCTATAACCATGTGACATGAAAGCATCTAACAGCACTAAATTACACCGAGTGCCGCAGCTGAGAGTGACGCTACTTAAAAAAAGCATTTTCTAAAGATTCATAACAAAGATAACACCTATGGTAGGAATTGCAATCATTGCAAAGAATTCTTGTTGGTAATATTCAGAGTAGTAATGCTTACCTGATAGGTTATTGCTTTTTGTTAGCATTAATTACTGTTACAACGTGCAACTCAGATCTGTACCAGCTTTTCCTTAATCTGCAACTCATAAAACACGATGTTGCAGGTCTCAGGCCAGAAGAAAAATATTTTAATACAATCTGAAAATTTACCAACACCAAATATTTTTGAAAGACCAGGAATTTTTGGTAAATTTGGCAAAAATTGCTCTATACTCAGATCAGCTGGAATTCAGAAAAACGGAAGATTTAGCTAGCTAGCTTACTGCTTAGTGAAAATACAGGGTTTTGAGTTCCATCAAGTCAATTATTTCAATAAATGGTGTATATATTGTTAGCACGAGGCCTTCAAGCTGGATTAACGCAACAAATTGTACTATTCCTTCAGAAATATTACATTTCATTAAGGTCAAAGCCAGAGGTCAATAATCAGATCAGTTATAAAGAAGCTTTTACATGATATGACTAGTCTTTAGGATCAAGTGCACAGTACCAGGTGAAAAATACACTTTTTCAAAAGAACGTAGATTATAGTAATATCAAGTGAGCTATTACAGCCTAGAGAGTAATTAGCTCACATTTTCAAAATTAATGGCCTGATTTTCAGAGATATTGAGTTACCACAAGTCCCGTTAGATTCTATGGAAGTAGTGAGTACTCTGCATCTTTGTAAATGAGGCTGTAAAATATTTAAACAGATTTTGTATGTAGGTTGTTTTTTTGGGTTGCTTTTGTTTTTTTGAGTGATGCCAGTGTATATTAGCAATAGCACAGTGAAATGCAGAGGAACTCAATAAAAAAATATAAAATATCGATCTGAATCACAGCCAAAACTTGAAATGAAATAAGAATGTTTTTCAGTTTGAAGAAGATTTTCAAAGAGCTATTGCTCATTTTCTTCTAGATTAAGAAATATTTATTTCCAGAAATAAATCTCCAGCTGTCTTTGGGTCTGTTGTTAATTCAGCTATTTTCAGTTCTCATGTTGTCTGATAAGATTCTGGAGTCACAAAAAAAAATGTGGATGGCAGAGGAGCAAAACAACCTGTGACATTTTAATACTACAATCTGCCTCAGTCCAATAGAAAAACTGCTTAAGTAGAAAACTATCTTTGGATTATCAAATTTCCAATTTTTTGTAAAAATGTGAAATAGTTTCCAAATACATTGTCATTATGAGGAAAACAGAAATTGGGGGAGCATGTCAAAAGATTTGTCACTGGAAGGTGAAAGGGATCAGTGGCTATGCAGTTCAATTTCTCTCCAGAGTTTTGTCTTGAAAGAATAAAAAATGTGTTCCATAGTTTTGAGGTTTGACTATTTGAAAATTGCTATAATAATTACTGAGAAACTGGCAGTTTATAATGGCTAGTGTTCAATAAGACCTTTGCTAATGCTTCTCATTTCAAAGAACCAACTAACTCCTTGCAAATTACAAGCCTGATAGCTGTTGTTACTATTTTAGATGTCTTGCACCTAATGTATTTCTTATTTTGAATATATTTTATTGTGCCTAGTATTGTGGAGGCCAAACTCAATATTTATCAATTTTACAATATTAATTGCAAGATAAATAACATTGCAGTATGCGATCAGAAATATGTGCCTATTTTGGCAAGTAACAGCTTGATCAAATAATGTTATGCGAAAACTTCACATAGACTGGTAGACTCACTAACCTAGGAGGGGAAACATAAGTTTCTAAGGCAATTTCAGAACCATAGCTATTGGAACAATCTAAACCAGAAAATTCTGAGTGGCCCAGCTGAAGAGCACTTCTACTCCAAAATCAGCCTGTAAGTTTCCTAGATTTGGCCACTGACTCTGTATCTACAGATACAGGCAGCAAAACTTTTCCCTTCAATCCTCTTTTTCGTCATACAGTACAGTTGTTAGCTTTGCCTTATGTTTTAAATTGTTATCATATGTAGAGACTTACAAAGTCATGGCATGCATGAGTTGCATATATGGCATTACTGCTAATCCTTCATTTTTAATTGCTTTGTTTCACTATTTTAATTATTCATAAGACATATGAATAAACACTTATAAGGTGTCTGATCTAGTAAAACAGAAAAGACCAGGATGCTACCTGTCTCCAAGGAAGATTCATTTTTAATTCTATCCAACATTTGATATTTGATCAAAAACATACACTTCTTTTAAAAAAATTACTGATGTTACCTTTATTAGACATAATAAGCAAAAGGGACTGCAGTCTCAAAGTGGGTGATGTTTTTGTATATGACATGACAACTTCATAAAAATCACCTGAAATAATTATAGGTCTATGGAAAACTAATGACTGCAAACAGTCACAAGCAGATTTTTCCATTTTTCTCAACTAAAATTTTTAAAGGCATTGTTCCTTGTAAGCACTTGTGAGCCTCTTACTGTTCACAGTCTTCATCAGACTGTGTATGAATCTTGCCAAGCAAGTGAGAATGCTTACCATTAAATAACTCCACTATGTACATAAACCAACTCCAGAAAGCAATTTCTTGTGTATCAGATCAAGAATACAGCAACAAAACTTATTTTCTTTATAATGGCTGTTACTAAGACATTTAAAGATTTAGCAGAAGATGAAGTTGCAGCCATAGTAGGCAGCTAGATCTATTTATCAAGGACTGAAAAAAATTGTGGACATTAAAATGAAGAAGAAATGTACTAAGCAGCAGCAAAAATGGAAAAATACACATAACGGAAGCAGATGAGAGAAACAGATGGGCAGAGGAGTCTCACTAGACTCAGCCCACCATCAACACCATATTTTGATGAAATATTATGAACCTAGACCATTTAACATTTACAATGAACAATTGAGATATCAGCCATACATACAGCAATCCAGAAGCTAAAAAACATCAAGGCAAACAACAACGATCACATCACCAAGAAACGAGCACTAGATCCCACCATTTAAATTAACACCATTCAGAGAAAAAAGATCCCTCCCCTTCTTCCTGCAAGAGAAATGCTCTGCAGTGCAATACTCCACAGGAGGTAAGATGAAGCTGGACACAAATCTCAGTCTGGATTAAGCTGATGCGAACATGAATGAACTAGAGATATTCACAGTAAGAGCCATCATAAAATAATACACTAAATGCAGTACATCACCAATTTTCAAAAACTCTTGGAAGCTTATATACACCTGCAGTCACTTACTGGGCATGAATCAGGTTGGTGCTCCAAAAGCAGGGAACAATGGAAGATAAAGTGTACTGTGATGAACAAGGATCTTGATTGTAACTGCAGAAACGTCACATATTTTTATGGCTGCCACACTGAACTCTTGGCATGTTAACCAAATCATTTAACTCTAGTTTTTCAAGATGATAACTGGAAGGGGGAAGGGCTGCATCCAATTTAAGTCCTACTTTCCACAGCTGATTAGCAATGCCACATTCACCTAAAAACAGCAGGAAGACCTGAAATCATAAGTAGAATTCTATTAAAGCACAACTCTGGTTTCAACGCAGAGAATATAATTCTTTTGACATGACTCTTGACTGACACTGGTGCTACAGAAACCTGCCTTCTGAGTTCAGTGTAATATTATTTCATAATTCTGCAGTAATCCCTCTTAACATAAGACATTCATTTATTACAAAACGTAATAAACCAAGATGTAACTAACAGAAAGGTTAACTACCAGTCATTGCTGTCACCTGGTATGATTTTCAGATCTATGTAAGATACCACTGCATTTCAAACAGAATAATGTCACTTTGAAATGTACACTTTCTCTATTTTAAAATGATGCTAATCTTAGATCAGAGGACCCAATATGTGTGTGTCATATTAATTCAACAGTGCACTGCGAATGCTAAATTCTATGTAAATGACATAAGCCTTATCAGTTCCATTCATTGTTACAACTCAAACAACAGCAATTACAACAACTCTACAGATTTTGGCACTGGAAGAATGGCAGATTTATTAGCAAAATCCAGTTAATATTTATCTTTTTATACTGTTCAACTACCAAGATACACCTGTACAATATACAAAGCTTCTAGGTAATGAGATATTTCTTTATTGTCAAATCTGCTCCACAGACTGCTGGTAAAGATTACATAGCTCATTTAAATAAAGCTCTTTTGTCAACAGACTGGATATACTTTAAAAATGAGTAAAAGCCTCATGAAAAAAACAAATCTCAGCTGATGTGCAAG